TTGTAGGACTTCCATTCAGCTTGATTTCAGGTGGTTCTGAATGATGGTTGTTCTGTAGTTTAGTTGTCATTTCGATGTGATTGTGGGAGTAGGTGAGTGACCGCGTTTACCTACGCCACCATCTTGACTGGAAGTCTATATTAATTAAATCAAATCAAATATGCCTTTTCAAACTAATACCTCCTCCCATTCTAAAACAGCCACCCCTCACCTTTGAGGGTTGCTGCCCCCAAGCCAGTTCTGTTCCTTCCTTTGTTATGTGTCTCCTCTATTTATTCACCCTCCACACATCTAGATCATGTGACACACAGACTGGGCCAGTAAACACTTGACAGTGTGATCTGGGTGATTTGGATTCTAAGCTGAGGCTTGCCAATAACTATATGTAAGTCATCTAACCTAATTCACTAAGTCTGGGTAAAAATATGGTCATATGCTTTCCTTTTTTCAATCAGTTGTTTGCCCCTCTCCTCTAATGATCAAGAAGTCCAGTATCTCCTTTTTGAGTCCCCTCCATCCTAATTGTCTAAAAATGCTGAAAGTTTCCTCGGTTTAAAGGGAGCCAAAAAAGTAACTGAATCTGAGGGGTCTGCCATTGCTCTTGCTTCTTGCTGCCACTGGTGTCACTTTTGAAGGCAGTTTCTGTACAAATCAGTGAAGATAGACCCTGCCTCACCTAGTTGTGGTACAAATGAAATGAGCTAACACAGCTCATTTAGAGATGGATATACACGGCACTAAGTAGGCACTCAAAGATTTAGCTGTTATGTTACTGGGGCTCAGTTTTATGCCTAATTGAGAGGGATCTCGAACCATCCCAGCTGTGGCAAATGGTGAGGAACAGATGGGGGCCTGGGTCCCCTGCAGGCTGGTATAGAACCTGGAGGCCAGGGTGGACCAGTCACTGCCTCTTTCTGAAGCCTCTGGCTGTCTTAATCCCATTGTCCTGAGGTTGGTCTGCCCCTTGTAGGTGGGGGAGACAGAACCTGAGTAGTATAGAATTTCATGTAAATTGAATGATCTGTTCTGGCTCAGAGGAGGAGGGATTCTAGAGTGTTCAGACTTAAAAAAGAACATACTACCCCGTCTCACAGGGCTGGTTGGTGGTAGCTGGGCCTTAACCAAGGTCTTCCTGAACGCAGAGCTTGACTTTCAGCCCAGGGTGTATTCTGCCTCATTTTGAAAGGCAGTGTTATGGAGAGCAACGCTGTGGCTCATTTATTTTTGTATTCTCCTCATTCCAAGTACTGTGCCTTGCACATAACAAGAAATACACCTTCTCCGTGTCAACTGCTGTTAAAGACACTCAGGTGTTCCTAAGCATACATGTACATGTGCACACATGCACATACAAACACACTTATGAACTCTTTCTGCCTTCCATCTCTTTGCGTCTCCCTTTTTTCTACTTCTAGGTGACAATAATTAAGAACAAAATACACAGTGCATAAAACCTTTTCTTCACCTTTGAGAAACTATTGTTGCATTACAACTTTTTCTATCTATGCTTTAATTACCAGATTTCACACCCTCTAGAGTACACCTTTCTTGTAAAATGACAACACCTTATCTCTCTTTTTTTTTATCCTCACCCGAGGACATTTTTCTATTTTTTGTTCAGATAGAGTGGGAGAGAGAGAGAGGAAGAGAGAGAGAGAAAAACATCGACGTGAAAGGGACACAATGAGTGGCTGCCACCGCACTACCAACCGGGGCTGGGGACAAACTGCAACCGAGGTACGCGCCCTTAGCAAGAACTGAACCCGGGTCTCTCTGGACCGCAGGCCGACCCTCTAACCGCTGAGCCAAACCAGCCAGGGCCACCTTATCTCTTTAATGAACTTTGGGACTAGCACATAAAATATCCCCAAATAATAATTTATTTTAGATCATGTGAAAAAGATTCATTGTCCACATACATTAAAGGCTACTGAATCATTACTACAAGAACCCCATTTGCTAATCAATTTACCTATTTGGGGTGTGTCCTAGAAGTTCATACAGAATCAATTTGCTTGTTTTCATGGGAAGCTACATTATCTATTTTTATGTCATAATATAAAGTATTATATATTATGATGTATAATAATGAATACTAATAGCAGTAATAATAATTGCCACAATTTATTGAGTACCAGGTACTTGACATAATTATCTCTATTTTCTGCATCAACCCTGCAAGATTAGTGTCCATTTTATAGGTGAAACTGAGATTCAGCTAAATTAAGGAACTTCCTTTTTTTTTTTTTTTTTTTTATCCTCACCCGAGGACATCTTTCCATTTTTTGTTCAGGTAGAGTGGGAGGGAGAGAGAGGAAGAGAGAGAGAGAGAGAAACATCGACGTGAAAGGAACACATCGAGTGGCTGCCACCCACACAACCGACCAGGGCCGGGGACAAACTGCAACCGAGGTACATGCCCTTAGCGGGAACCGAACCCGGGTCTCTCAGGACCGCAGGCCGACGCTCTAACCGCTGAACCAAACTGGCCAGGGCAGGAACTTCCTTTTAAGAGCACACAAGGTCAAATACATTTCTTGCCCCGACAACAGCACCTGCTAAAGGGGTAGTGACAGGCAACCCCCATGACCTCCCTCGCCACTCCTATCCTCACCAGCCACAGCTGGTGGGCACCTGCTTTAATGAAGGCCAATTTGGGTTGTGGCCTGGTTGGAATGCATGAACTTGGCCATTGTGATTCTACCTTAGGAATATGAATTGGGAAACATGGAAAAAAGCAGTAAGTTGGTAGGAACAGGAGCTGAAGCTGAAAGGCTCAATCAGAAGCTGCTGAATTCGTGTTGGAAAGGAGGGCGGAGGAGGCCACGATGAACCCCATTCAAACTGAAGTTTATGGGAGAGAAGAAAGCAAGCAGACACTTTAACACAGTGGAAGGATGTACGGTAAATGGGTGTGGGGCAGAAAGAATTACATGCAGAGAGCAACCAGGTCTGTGCAGAGTTCTCTGGGGCCAGGATCTGCCCCTTTCCTGTCCCTGTCACAGTTTCTGTGCCATGGTAGTCCTAAAAGAATCTTTCATCTTGCCCTGGCCAGTTTGGCTCAGCAGTTAGAGCATTGGACTGCAGACCAGAGTCCCAAGTTCAATTCTGGCCAATGGCACGTACCTCAGTTGCGGTTCATCCCCGGTCTCCTTTAGGGTCATGCAGGTGGCAGCCAATCGATGTGTCTCTCTCACATCAATGTTTCTCTCTCTCTCTCTCTCTCTCTCTCTCTCTCTCTCTCTCTCTCTCTCTCCCTCCCTCCCTCCCTCCCTCCTTCCTTCCCTCCTTCCCACTCTGTCTGAAGATAAATGTAGGAATATCCTCCGGTGAGGATTAAAAAAAGGAATCATTCATCTCTTGAGCTAATTTTAGTGGGTGTCAGTTTCTTTTAACCAGCGGAGCCAAATTAGAATACATAGCCTGTAAGTTCTGGAAAGGGGATTTCAACCCCAGTTTTGTGGCTATGGAGCCTCTGCTCTTGTTATCGTACCCCTTTGGTATAGTACACATGCTGCCCTGGCCCACCGTGGCCCACACGGTCACCTTAATATGTCTGAAAACGAACCAATAACAAACTCAAGTTTCCTGAATCCATGTCCCAAGTCTTGGTCTGCTTTTAGAGCCCTGAATGGGATGGTGGGGGTTAAGTGTCTCAGGCAATTAGGAGGTCTCCAAGCAACTCTGGGGCAAGACTCCAGCTTTCAGGGCGGAAGGTGCTACAATGGGGAGGAGGGATGGGAATGGGACAGGATGGGTTCTTGGCAGTACAGAGAATGGGAACTCCTCCAGGACGGAGACCGGTCTTATCCCTACTTGCTTCGCCATTTCTAAGATAGTGCCCGACATATACTTGAATGAGTGTGTGAATAAGTGAACAAATGAGTGAATGAATAAGTGAATGGCAGAAGTGGGTCACAGCCCCTCTTCCCATGTATGGATCATTCTTCAGTTGAGTCTGACCAGGTCGAGGAACACCTGTGTCCACCTCTAAGAAACAATCTATGCGACCACATGAGTAATGTTTACAGTGACTTCCGCTTTAAAATACCAAAGTAGATGTAGTGATGACCATGGTAATGACATAGTTCAAAGACTACAAATGAACAACTCTGGATTGCATTTGCCCTGTTTACAAAAACACCGCCAGCTTTGTCTTCCTCTGGAGAGAGCGAAGTTTTCATTTTAAGAGGCTGACTAAAAAATGCAGAGCCACTTCCTGGGCAGGCTTCCAAGTGACTACATCTCTCTCTCAGCTCTCCCCAGAGCCTCAGCACCAGCTGCCTGGGGCGGGGCTCCCAGCCGTTGGTGGCTGTTGGAGCTACCACAGGAGCAGTTTATCTGCAGCCCGCCAGAAATGCTGTGCCTTTAAGCCCTCCCAGGGAACGGATAATGTATCTGGTCTTTGCACTGAAGAGATGTCAGAGTTCGTGATTGGCCAGGCTGGTGTGTGTGTGAAATACAGACGTCTGCCACACTGCTGAGTATGGCATTCCTGCCAGCTGAGTACCTCAGGGTGTGGGTAAGTCTTAATGCCTGAGGCCTGCCCTTGCTGGTTGTGAAATGTTCAAAGCTGAGCATTGTGACTTTCCAAGGGCATGACTTAGCATATTTCTTAAGCCTGCTGCGCCTCAGTTTCCTTTCCTGTGAAATGGAGGTGGTATTATCCTATGTTATAGAAGGATAGAAGGATCTCACCATCACAGGGTGTTGTGAGGCCTGAAAGAATTAGCATATCCAGGGCACCTCATCTGGTACCTGGCATACAGTAGACACTAAAGAGCTCTTATTATTTCTGAAGCAGCAGTAAAAAAAAAAAAAAAGGTTTCAGTGACAATGTCCCTGTTTTTATTTCTAACAGTACAATATTGCTCTGAAAGAGCTGATATATTCTACTTCTTGATCATACCTGTGTAGCCAACAGAAATAAAACTTCAGGGGAAGTTAGTGCCCAAGGAAAGTTTGTCAGACTATATTCCCTTTCTCTTTTTCCCTTCTAGACTCTGACTGCTCCTGCCCCATTTGCAGATGAAATCAGCTGCCAGTGCCAAGCACCCCATGAAAAACTGACCATTGCCCAGGCCCGCCTAGGAACACCAGGTGAGGCTGCACTTGTTCTTCTCCGAACGGGCCCTGTCTTGACATCCAAAGTAGCAGAAAGGCCCATCATTATATGAGCAGCACTTGCTTTCAGACAGTTGAATTCAGAGACTGTAGCACAGCGCAAGGATAACACCAACAGTAACGAACTCAACGGACCAAAGTAGCCAAGGAAAAATTACAGCCAGATGCCGGAGCCCCAGCTCTATCATTCACTAGTTCTGCAGCCTTGGGCTAGTCACAGAATGATCTGAATCTGTTTCCTCATGCGTGAACAGGGACAATGATACCTGCTTCCCAAGGTTTGTTTGTGGTTCTTTTTATCCTCACCTGAGGGCATTTTTTTATATTTTTTGTTCAGATAGAGTGGGAGGGAGAGAGAGAGAGAGAAACATCAAGGTGAAAGGGACACATCGAGTGGCCGCCACCCACACGACCCAACCAGGGCCGGGAACAAACTGCAACCGAGGTACATGCCCTTAGTGGGAACCGAACCCGGGTCTCTCGGACCGCAGGACGACACTCCAACCACTGAGCCAAACCGGCCAGGGCTCCCAAGGTTTTAGTAACAACTAGGATCAGTTAAAAATACCAAAGCAGCCCTGGCCAGTTTGGCCCAGCCATTAGAGCGTCGGTCGGTCCGTGGACCAAAGAGTCGCGGGTTCGATTCTGATCAAGGGCATAAACCTCGGTAGGGGTTCGCTCCCCATGTGGGAGACAACTAGTTGATGTGTCTCTCTCACATCGATGTTTCTCTCTCTATCTCTCCCTCTCACTCTGTCTGAAAATAAATAGAAAAATATTATTGGGTGAGGATTAAAAAAAAAACACCAAAGCATTTTTTTAAACTGTGAAGGCTTATACATACCTAAGCTACTCGTCGACCTGTGGTCCTGAGAGACCCAGGTTCGGTTCCTGCTAAGGGCACGTACCTCGGTTGCAGTTTGTCCCCGGCCCTGGTTGGGTTGTGCGGGTGGCAGCTACTCAATGTGTCCCTTTCACGTCGATGTTTCTCTCTCTCTCTCTCTCTCTCTTCCTCTCTCTCCCTCCCTCCCACTCTATCTGAACAAAAAAATGAAAAAATGTCCTCGGGTGAGGATAAAATAAAAAAAACAAAAACAAACCTAAGCTACTATAATTATTACCATTCTTAAAAGTCTGTGTTTTAAAAAGTTTCTCCAACTCTGCCTTAAATTAAAGAGCCTGGGCTCTGCTCTGGGAGTTTGTTGATTCGTTCCCTCCTCTAGTGTATACCAGAGCTGGATAGGGGAGAGATTTAAAAAGAACTATAAGGTGCCATCTCTGTTTCCAAGGGCTTCATTATAAAGAGAAAAGACAATCAGAAATAAAACCCACCAGTGGCATGCATGCATGTGCTTAGGGCAGCAATTTTCAACCAGTGTGCTGTGGCAGACTGGTGTGCCACAAGAATTTTTAAAACCTGCAATACCTGCCCTGGCCGGTTTGGCTCAGTGGTTAAAGCGTTGGCCTGCAGACCAGAGAATCCCAGGTTTGGTTCCCATTAAGGGCACGTACCTCGGTTGCAGTTTGTCCCCTGCCCCGGTTGGGGTCGTGTGGTTGGCAACCACTAGATGTGTCTCTCTCACATCGATGTTTCTCTCTCTTCTTCCCTCTCTCCCTCCCGCTCTAGCTGAAGATAAATGCAAAAATGTCCTCAGGCGAGGAAATAAATAAATAAATAAATACATACATACATACATACATGCTGCAATACCTGACTAGTCAGGGGCACTGACCTTTTTTCCCTTAGATTGTCAAATAAAAAAAGTGACAACAGCCAATACAACAATAGCCATCCAGTGTGAATGAATCAAAATTATACCTATTTTTTGGTCAGATCAGCGAGAAATAGATTTTTTTGGTGTGCTACAGAATTTTAGTAATTCGGTTATGCGTGCCATGAGATGAAAACGGTTGAAAATCGCTGGCTTAGGGGTTAAATCTTGCAACACAGATGAAAACTGACAGGTTTAAGCAAGGCAGATGCATTTGGAGCAGTCAGGCAAGACCTGGGAGCCCACTCCAGCCAAGCTTTTGTGGAGAAGTAAGATTTGGACAAGGTGGGCAGAAAATGGAAGGGCATTCTGGGCAAGTGGAATAGGAATAGTGAAGACATGGAGGTAGAGAGCTGTGTAGCAGTAAATGAATGGCATTCCATTTGGTTGGGATGGAGTGGAAAATCAGACTAGTTAGCAAGTAAGCTTTGAGCCATGTCAGACGGCTCAAAAACAAACATCCCAAGTTTAATAGAATCCGTGGGATAAAGGACAGATTTCTTTTTCTTTTTTTTTTTTCCTCACCCGGGACATTTTTCCATTTTTTGTTCAGATGGAGCAGGAGGGAGAGAGAGGAACAGAGAGAGAGAGAAACATCGATGTGAAGGGACACATCGAGTGGCTGCCACCCGCACGACCAACCAGGGCCAGGGACAAACTGCAGCCGAGATACATGCCCTTAGCGGGAACTGAACCCGGGTCTCTCGGGACCGCAGGCCGACGCTCTAACCGCTGAGCCAAACCGGCCAGGGCAAGGACAGATTTCTTAATAAGAAGAAGAATGGATATTAAGTGTTTACTATTCAATTCTTTATATACATTGTGTCATTTCACTGTCACAACTCTTTGTGGTTAGTACTTTTAGTGTGTCACTGCTGCTGCTGCTGCTGAGGGACCACACTTTGGTAAGTAGTGAAGCTGGGATTTGATCTCAAACCTCTTTGTGTTCTAGCTCAATCTCTCAACTATGACACTCTGCTAGTCTTTAAGACTACAGTAGGGCCTGGCTGGTGTGGCTCAGTGGTTGAACATCAACCCATGCACCAAGAGGTTGCCAGTTCAATTCCTGGTCAGAGCACATGCCCAGGTTGTGGGCCCGATCCCCAGTGGGGGGCCTGCAGGAGGTAGCCAATTGATGTTCTCTCTTATCGATGTTTCTCTCTCCCTCTCCCTTCCTCTCTCTCTAAAAAAATCAATAAAGAAAAACATTTTTTTTTATCCTCACCCGAGGACATTTTTTGCATTCATATTCAGATAGAGCAAGAGGGAGAGAGGGAGAAAAAGAGAGAGAGAAACATCGACGTAAGAAAGACACATCAAGTGGTTGCCACCCACATGATCCCAACCAGGACCAGGGACAAACTGCAACTGAGGTATGTGCCCTTAGCATGAACCAAACCTGGGTCGCTCTGATCCATAGGCCAATTCTCTAACCGCTGAGCCAAACTGGCCAGGGCAAAAAAAAAAAATTATTTTAAATTAAAAAAAAAAGAGTACAGTAGGTCCTCGAATAACGTTTTTTTTTTTTTTTTTTTTTAATTTTTTTTTTTTTTTTTTTTTTATCCTCACCCGAGGACATTTTTCCATTTTTTGTACAGATAGAGTGGGAGGGAGAGAGAGAGAGAGAAACATCGACGTGAAGGGACACATCGAGTGGCTGCCACCCGCACGACCAACCAGGGCCGGGGACAAACTGCAACCGAAGTACGTGCCCTTAGCGGGAACCGAACCCGGGTCTCTCCGGACTGCAGGCCGACGCTCTAACCGCTGAGCCAAACTGGCCAGGGCTCGAATAACGTTTTGCTCAGTGTTGTTTCGTTATAACATTGATGAGATGCCATAGGAACCTAACTTGTTTATATCAGTTAGCCTATGGTAAAATTGGTTTCATTGTACATCATCTCACTTAAAGTCACAGACCCTAGTGATGATGTTAAGTGAGGACTTACTGTAGCTTGGAGAGAGCAAAGTGAGGAGAGCAGGCCAAATCAGTAAGCTTTTTTGTTATGTCTTCTGAGAAAGGCAAGAAGTGGGTTGGGGCAGTAGTCCAGAGCAGCTACACCAGTTGTTTCCAGTCTTCAGTGTGCAAGGAATCACGTGGTAAGTTTGTTAAAGTAGCAATTTCCTTCTCTCTCTCTCTCACCACTAAATCTGGGGTGAGGCCCTGGCATCCGCATTTCTAATGAACAGCAGAGGGAAATCCAAAAGATGCAGTGGAAGTCCAGGCAGTTATGAGGAGAAAATTTTGACCTAAAGTTAAAGGATGAGCTTAGGCTTGAGCAGCAAAGGACCCTGCTTTTCTGGGGAAAGGAAAGGAAAGTTCAACTTGCTCTAAATCTGCCAGGTGTTCTTTCTTTTACTCTGTCTGTCTCATGTAGTCTTTGCAAAAACTATGATGGATACTATTGTATCCTTTCTACACATGAGGCAAATGAGACTTGGAGAACTAAAAAGTTACTTGTCATATGCCCTGCTGACTGAGTAGAGCTAGGATTTGACCCCAAGTCCCTCAAACCCCTGCTTTGTCCTCCACATTGGGCTGCCCTGTGCAGTACAGGCCACAGCAGACCATGGAGCTGACACAGCCCTGGCCGGTTTGGCTCAGCAGTTGGAGCATCGGCCCCGCGGACCAGAGTCCTGGTTTCGGTTCCCGCTAAGGGCACGTACCTCGGTTGCAGTTTGTCCCCGGCCCTGGTTAGGGTCGTGCGGGTGGAAGCTAGTCGATGTGTCTCTCTCACATTAATGTTTCTCCCTCTCTCTTCCCCCCTCTCCCTCCCACTCTGTCTGAATATAAATGCAAAAATGTCCTTGGGTGAGGATTAAATGAATAAACAAACAAACAAACAAACAGAGAGAGCCTGGCCAGTGTGACTCAGTGGTTGAGCCTCGACCCATGCACCAAGAGGTCGCCGGTTCGATTCCTAGTCAGGGCATATGCCCAGGCTGTGGGCCTCATCCCCAGTCTGGGTCATGCAGGAGGCGGCCAATCGATGTTCTCTCTCATCGATGTTTCCATCTCTCTCTCTCTCCCCCTTCCTTTCTCTCTAAAATCAATTAGAAAAAAATTTAAAAAGACAGACAGTACCTGTGATCTTCTGTAGTGGCAGGGCTGTCTGTCATGCTCACTGCTACTTTACCAGCACTTGGAGGTATACTTGTCAAGTACTGTGTGCGCAGTAAATATTTCATGAGTGAATGAATGAA